ACAGCAAACATGACAGCTTAATAACGAACAGTCTATCGACTATTCCAAAAGACTAAGCAGTTAGCGTGGTTATTAGTCAGCGCAAAACATTTCGGTCTCATCTAAATTCGCCCTTTGTTAATATAACTCTACCGTTTGACAAACCACTATTGCCATGTGCAGTAGATTCCTAAGTTTCATCAATTTTGGATAATGCTAGTCAGAATTGACTTTGTCATTGACGATCGCTTGGATCAGTGGAACAACACGGCGACACTGGACCAGTCAAATAAATGTGCTGTGTCTTGGACATTTGACAATGATCAAGGAGTATGCTCAGAGTACGTAGATGCATTGAAAGGAAATGCAACAACGAGTGTGCAGATGTTCGGCATGTTGGCTTTTATTCTGAATTGTTGGCAAGCGTCAGTGATCTGGCAGCTTGGAGGCCTGCCATACAATTCAGTGAATCCGATTTAAATCAGTCCTAATATTCGAAAGTGTGATTGATCGGTCCAACTTCGGTGACTCGAAAAAGAAATAACTTATGAAATCAGACTTGAATGCGGGTCCGCGAGATCTGGAATAAAAATCTGCAAACAAAACGCAATGACGAAGCAGAAATTTGGCGATGTCACAAACAAAGTCGACAGTTAATTCCACTAAGACAATGGCACTGATGATATTTAACTAATTACAATTGGCAAACTTCACCTTTTGCAAAAATAACCAACAAATCGCGATAAGCAACATAGCATTCTTCCCTCATAACTACATTAACACCCCTACCTCCTGATGTTGCGATAATCAGTAGCACAATCAAGACCTCATGTGCAATGGCCCTTGCATCAACAACACATCACTGGTCATCAACTAACTGCCACCACGTCCCGCTATCTTGCCCGTCACCAGCTACACGCTCCTCATTGCGTGCCATAACCAATTTTGCGCCAACTGCTTTTATAGGTCGATCGAGAGCGCCACCATGCCAGACATTTACGCCGTACTCACCATTCAGTCAACAGCAATTGCACTTACCAATCACGCCACACCCAACCAATCACTCCATACGACCTCATTCTTACAGCATTTCTATTGGTTGTGCGTTCATGATTGACTGCGAGTTGGCGGCGCTCGTGCACGTGCTTCTCCGGCATGCTATTTTCATTGCACTATTCAGCCAAATGCCCATTCCCCCGCGCCCCAACACGAAAAAAACATCATCTGCGTACACTCCACTAAATCTACAAATTGTGTCTTTTTTAATACGGCAATCCTGCCTCAGTTACCGCCACTTAAACTCACAAATAAAACTATTAACGCTGCCTGCTTGCGCCTAATTCATGTCAACTACGTGATGTACACGCGTTGAAAAACAGCAGCCAGCATGAACTTGGCTCACACCTATAATCCCCATCACACGTTTGCCCGTAACCAAGAGAAACCTCTCAGATAAGGGTTCTAGATCCCCTGTTGACGCTAAAACCGACCTTCCCACGCCAGTGCAAGAACCACACCACAGGTCGTGCAGAGAGCGTCAATCGCGTCACCTAAAGTGCCAGTGATTTGCCACAATGCCAGCATTTATGCGAGTCAGAGGTGCCATTGACCTGATGGATAAAAGCGGATTAACACAGATAAGGTCATCAGCAGGATCCCGCGGGTGACTGCTCACCCACTCATGTGGCGTGGTTAGGGAATTAGTGTAAACAATGACAAAAACCGGCGAAAAGTCATCCTAGGGGAATCCCGAATCCCCAAAACCTCATTCAAGTAACACCTACATTCATGGGCAAAGTAACCAATTCGTGCATCATGCAACATTGCCTGATTGCTACATCAACACCATCACCACCAACGCCACCTGATTGATAATTAGTGTAAAGAATGAAAAAAAACTGCACAAAATCATCTGAGTCCAATCCCGAATCCTCTAATCGCGTGAGCTAAAGCGCAACTTAACCTCACTGAATGCCGAAGGTGTGATTTTGACGTCATAAACGAAAGCGGATTAGCAAGGATTAGGTTGTCACCAGGATGACGTGGGTGACTCACTCACTGGTGTGGCACGGTTAGGGGAGTAGTGGAAAGAATGAAGGAAACTGCCAAAAGTGCTTCACGGAATGAAAAACTACTTTTTTTTTCACCAATTTATCAAACAAATTCACTTAAGCAAACTTTAAAACTTTTAATGCAACAAAATTTGGTAAACAGACGTACTTACCTACAACCATTCCATTTCAGCGAATCCAGTGTAGGAGATATTTGGACCACACTTGACGCAAAGAAGAGTAACCGACGCTGTTGGTCCCAGCAAGGTTACGTTTAAGCCCAAAAACTTTCATTCCTCAACCGGGTTGTTAAATTCATCCCTCGGTTTAGTAAGTCCCTCGTGTGAATGCAGCGTTTCAGGCGCTTCGATTACTTCGGTTGCAACATTTTCATCAACACACGAATATTTGGAGAAGCGTTAAGCAACCTTCACATCGCGAAAATGGGGCCAATTCATTGCTGAGAAGACGACGTCATCAAGATTACCATTCCTAAACATAACTAGATTAGATTATGGATACCCACCTCTAATCCAAATTGACAAATTCTACTGTGGCGACGTATACGGCCGCAGGCATATTGAACTACGCTGGCCTTTGCTATTGCCCTGTCTCTGCGTTCCAATGGGATGCGAGAAAGATAGGCAGTAGACCAGAGACAGATGATGACCGATCGTTGTAAAGGTAGCTCAATCCAATAGTAAATTGCGTGTTGCTTTTTGAAGTAATCAAGCATGTTTAATGTGTTTAATGAAGTAGGTGCTAAATTTGGAGAAACGAAGTTTAATACAGTATTCTATAAAACATCCCATGTATTTACCAATATCATAATTTGATTTACTTGCTCCTTTAAACACCTTTACTATTTATATTTTCACTGTTTTTGCTGTCTACAGCTGCAGTTCAAGTATAGCACATGCTTTACTATTATTTGAAAGCTATGAATCATCTTTGTACAGAAATGTCAAAAACAATATTTTAATAAGTGTTCCTAATCAGATCCATATCTGCGCAACACAGATACTCAAGACAGTGTAGACATCGATAATGCCAGTTATTCTGTGTGATTTCCAAGCAAAATTCTTTCAAAAATAGATCCATATATAGTTGTTAATTGCAGGGGAATAATAAATAGGCAGGATTTAAGACGTGTTTCTTTGATAAATTTGCAATTTGCATTAGAAAATATTAATATTAATAGTATATCAATTTGCGATTCTGTAGAAGTTGGGCATTTTTTTTCTGTTATATTTGTCGAAAAAATATACCCTAGCTTTACAGCCACTTCGAATAGATTTGAAATCAATCTGACAGGAAATATATTTTTTTTCCAACAGATAAAAATTTTAACAGCATTGGTCAGTCAAGAAAGTCTTGGGAAATTACAATTTATTGATCAAACCTTATAAATCTGCTCCTCAAATTACCCTTAATTACCTTTGCAACTTTTGCGTTTTGTCGAAACTAATATTACTGAGCAGAGTAATTTGGAATTTATATTTTGTTAATCTGTGTAATTCAGTCATGGGTCTGATAAAGAAGAATTGATAAAACATTGTTTTTGACAGTTTTATGCAATGGTGATTTATGGCTTTCAAATAATAATAATAAAGCGTGTGCTATACTTGAACTGCAGCTGTTGACAGCATAAACAGTGAAAAAATAAATGGTAAAGGTGTTTAAAGGAGCAAGTAAATCAAATTATCATATTGGTAAATACATTGGACGTTTTATTAAATACTGTACTGAAATTCGTTTCTCCAAATTTAACACCTACCTCATTAAACACATTAAACATGTTTGATTACTTTAAAAAGCGACACAAAATTTACTATTGGACTGTGCTACCTTTAAAACGATTGGTCATCATCTGCCTCTGATTAGCTGCCGATGTTTCTCGCATGCCATTGGAAGGCAGCGACAGAGCAATAGCAGAAAATTAGTGTAGTTCAATATGCCTGCGCCCCTATACGTCGCAAAAGTAGAATGTCAGTTTGGATAAGCAGGGATCTATTCAAATCCATGTGAGGGCACAAGCTATATTGTAGGTTTGTTTAAAGTTGTATTTTTTTATCAGCAGTTATTGTCTAATAGAGGTGGATCCTTAAGACCGGGAATAAACCGCTTTTACTCTCCGCTCGGGCCCCTACGAGTTCCGTACACTCCCCATGGGCTTAGCCAATGCTGCAGCCACTTGCCAACGAGTAATGCAGAAAGCCCTACAAGGTCTCCTCTACCAAAAATCCCTGGTCTATCTTGACGACGTCATAGTGTTCGGCCCAACCGAGAACGAGATGCTGGACATCCTAGCTGAAGTCCTTCAGAGATATCGACAAGCAAGGCAGACCATTAACCCCAAAAACGTGTTTCTTCCTACAGCAATGAATCAAGTTTCTC